CAGCCAAAATATGGTTATTACCTATTGTTTAACATTTTAGATCGATCGATGGAACATTTTGGATCGATGTGCTTGTTGTGAACTTTGGACTTGACGTTGTTGCTTCGATATGTTTTCGGAAATATGAGTTCGACTCACGTTTTGGGAATCACAGTGTGCGATAACAGTTTCGGTAAAATAAGCCAACAAGTTACATGGAAAATTAGGAAATAAATAGCCGATGGCAATGTCACCTTCTTCAACAAAAAAAAAACAAGTAGTACAGTTCCATTCCCGAACGAACGGCATACTGTTCGAGTGTCCATGAATTCACTCTGTAAGATCACGTCAATGCTCTATTTTTGAATACCGTACATTTTTTTGGGCAAAGTTGACGACATATCAACAACACCTGGATTTTTACGGGTCCTATGTTTAATTTGGGCGATCTTTTTGCGTCACAATGACTTAAATCAATCAAAACAAACTTCGGCTGCATACATACAGTAAGCGACAACTCAATGTGAACTATTGGTTTTGGATAAGAACCACTTGTTGCCTTGGATAAGACTGGAAGTTTCGACATAAGATATACAATCCGTAGAAGTTATATCGAATGGATATTAAAAGAGGAGGTTAACTGGATTCAAGAACTATAAGATAACTATAACATAATATATTTTCTTATCCAATTCAATGTTTTTGGTAGTTTTTTTTTGTTGCCACGCGAATCAAATTTCTGGTACAGAACTAGTTCTTACATAATGCTTACCTTGCAAATGTTAAACAGCACATTATGCTGCAAATCTTCCGCAAAAGTGATGCGAAGTCAGTAAGAAGAAATATTACTGACTTGTTTTCATGATGCTCATTATCTCGTAAATAAATTGTGTTTGACATGTTTGGTTTTATTCAAACAGAAAAATTTTGGCATGAAATTAAGCATTCTGCTGGCTCACTATGGCTCATTAAATGTAGGTTTCATCGTGGAGAATGTGTGCTGAAGATTTTTTTTCTGCAAACAATACACCCAACACATTCTTATTTCTCTACCTTCCTAAAAATTCTTTTTATTCATTGTATTTGCACTTATCGTGACTTCTTAAATTCCACATGGAGCAATGTCAGTGGCATATCCCAAGCGCGACTCCACACTTAGCTTCTAAATGTGACACCGTAGTAAGTGTGGGCATACGTTTTGCGAATAAGCGACAAAGAGAATGGAAACAAGTGCGTGTGTGGTAGTGTCACATTTGGTAGTGTCACACTTACTACGGTGTCACATTTAGAAGCTAAGTGTGGAGTCGCGCTTGGGATCTAATGTTTTGGTATTGTTTTGGATGTATCGTAGGATTGGGTGTTTTTCCCGCATGTCTTTCATTTCTCAATTTAATCTGATGGCAATTTAATAATCCCACGTCCAATTTTGATCCCAATGTAAAGGTTCTTTAAGATTTTCACGTTCACTTTGGTCATCCGCCTTGGTCAATCCATTGGCATTTTCATCGGTGATCAAATCGGTTTTCTTGCCATCCAATGCATTAAATAAAATCGCATCGCTTGGATTGAATGTGGTTACAACGCGCTTATTATTTGGTCCAATCAATTTTGTTATTAGTTTTGTGTTGGGCAACAGATTTTTTGCTTCATTTTCCGCATTATACAAACCAATCAGTTCGGGCACAACTCGATTCCGCTCCATTTCAATGGTATTTGCTTGAAGTTCCCTGATTGCATCCGATACACGATCCTCCAAATTGCTGATTCAGCCAACAATTTGACGAAAATCCAAAATTAAATCGTTTCAAATGAAATACACTCTTCAGATTGGCAAATTGATTTTACCTGATTTCTGCCTGCGTTCCGTTCGATCTATTGGGAAATTTCGAGACGAACAGAAAAAAAATTAGTATCATTAGCGGTGTCATTGATCAAATAGATGAATGATTGCATTACCTCTTCTTCTCTTTCAACAGTCGTGTAAAGTGGAAAACTTTTCTTGTTCCATCTTGAACCTTGAGCTCAAAGCTATAGTTTTATAAATAGAATTTTCAGTGATTTGCTAACGCACAACAACAATAAAAATCGGAAATATGCATAATGCGAGCTTACTATTTGAAAACGTAATAAATGATGATTTGTTGAATGTCCTCGTCCGTAGAGTATCTGAACGGCAAATGTAACAAATTTTCGAAATTAAGTGCTTATGTTACACAAAAATCAAGTGGGTAATTTTCCATACGTGTACTGTTCTAAGACATTGCGGTTGAATTGGTCAGCATGTTTGATTTGCGCTCCAATCGACGTTGTGTCTGGGTGGTTATTTTCCATAATTATGCTGGCCCCATCAATCGTACCATCATCATCATCAATTTGATCGTTTAAATAGTTGTCGGGCAGCGGTAGGAATTCTTTACGCGGTGAATCATCATTTGGCATACGGCTCATGCGAAGCGCATGACTTTTCTCATCGTACTGCGTACGAAAATGCAATTTTGGCGTAAACAATTGCTGTATAATTGTCTCCAAATTATGAATATCATACCACACTTTGGGCACACGTTTCGGTTGCGCAAAATATTGTGAATATGTTTCCAAATATGGATTCAATACGGTCGTAATCTTTTCACGCTGCCTTTCAGCACGAACACACACTCGATGCATTTTGTTGAAGGCGGTCTCAATTTGCGCCTTTTTCCTGCGCAAAAAGTATTATAAGCGAAATGAATGTCAATGTCGATGGGCTTTTATGAATTTTTGCACCGAATTAGAAAAGAAAAATACTAATTTCAGTGAAAAAAAATGTTTTTCAAATACAAAAAGCGAAACTTCTGTGTGTAAAACTTCTTCAGGTCCATTTAGCATCGTAGAATGTTGAAAATTTTCAACATTATTCAAGAATAATTGTCATTTTCAACATATTTCGTACACATTTTATGATTCGCGTCATTCATTTTACTCGACAAAATTCGAAAAACCAACCAAAAAAGGTAAAAAAGCAATCAGAGACTTTTTTGCAACCACCACATACATTGTACACATTAAATGCACTTGAGCAATGGAGTTGCAAAAAAATTGCGATGAATTTAAATGGAATATACGCAAATGACTGTGTTTACGGAGTTGATACGTATACGTGTGCATCGATTGCCCAGCGATATATTTAAATGCCCTGAATGGGTAAACTTACGCAAAAAGACAAAATAAGAGATATTTTCGATGAAATTCTTGATCAACTTACTCTTGAGACTGCTGTATGATTTCTTGTTTGCGCTTTATGGTGTACGAAAGATACTGGATCTCCTGATTCCTAAAATGAGCGGAAACAATCGCATTTTGAATTAGCCTTTGAAAATGAATGCACATTCCACAAGCTTCAAACTTACTTTTCATAGTTGTAATTGTTGAATTCTCGGATCGCATGATAGCAATCCACAATTTTATCTTCGCAATAATCCTCAAATCTTTTTCAGCATACATTTTAAGGAACGAATTAGAGGTTAATTTTATTAATCGGTTGCTAACTTATGTTATGTAAAAATCAGATTTGTTAACTGAATTTAGTCACGTTCGAAATGTTAAAATAGGCACTATTAGAGCGGAGACCTAATTGGTAAATGATATTGATATCACAACGTACCGGTGTAAATTGATGAGAGCCGAATCGGGTAATTTGTGCACAATCCGAATGGGAATTGTGAATGTTGCCTTTGCATGCGGTCGTTGGGCTTCTATCGGTGGTGAACTTTCTTCCCAAGAACTTTCGGCTACCACGGATGGTGGATAAGGCATCGCACAATCATAGTCGTACGGCATTAGAGCTGTCATTGGATTTGGTGTGGTTTCCCCGTTCCATTCTCTTATAATACTTGACTCCGATGGCTGAATTTCATTTGAATCTATTGTGGTTGTTGGTTTGGATGTGGCATAAGTGGTAATCGATCCAGACTCACTAAAATTATTCGCTTCATTGGCCAACGGACTTTCTGGTTTGGTATTGGACATAAAGAGCATAAGCGCTCTAAATATTGATGCTATTTCCATTTTTCAAGTCGATTCAAAAATTTCAATTGATTTAAAGAAAGTCGTAAACATTTAGCGAAACGGAATTCTTTCAAATTCTCAACGAAAATCGCTCGAAGTTGACAGTAAAAAGAAAGAAAGTAAAATAAATACTAAAATAAAACTAGAAAATTAGCGAATCTTTAAAGAACTTTAAATTATTAGTATTAAATGGAATTAAAATGTTTAAAAAAATTGTTATTTTTCCAATGGTTCGGTTATTATTAAGTGCCGCACTTTTTGGATAACACGCCGTATGCTTGAGAACAAGTCATTTAAATGGATGATAAATATATCTGTGGGCAATCGATGCAAACGTGTACGAATCGACGTATAAAACTAAACATTGATGAACGAAGCTGAAACACACGATCAAATGTATCGAAAAACATCTGTTGAACACAGACAATAACAACGACGACTACGACGATGATGAAAAAAATTGCCTAAAAAACGAGAGCAAATTGAACGCATAGCGAAAATGTGACTGTCGAACCAACACGTTTTCATTTTGGCAATGAAAAGAATTCATTTAACCGAGAAGAAAGAAATAAAAAATCTTCAACTATATTCAAGAAGTTATAATACAAATCGAAAATAAAAACGATGTGTACGCATATATTGTCCCGAAGCGAAGTGCTTTAAATAATATTATTGAAGGCGAAGTCACAATGAACAGCAGCATCGTGAAATGTTCGCCAAATCCCGTTGTTTTCATTTGAATGGAGGAAGTTTCATGAATTCACTCGCACACAGTTCCATGCATTTGAATTTCTGCGGTGTCATTAAACACCTTTCGAGCGTGTTTACGAGCGGCAAAGGAAAGCAAATTATGCACAGCTGACTGAGTTTCAATTGCGAATGAAAATGGCTGAATTTAAATGTTTAGGAAGAACTCTGGTCTCAACTAATTACAATTTAATAATATATTTGTTGGATTTGGATGAAGCAGCTTCTCTGATCGTCTGTACAAACAGATAGGAAATGTCAAACAAGAAAAATAAAGCGGCACCTGGAGACTGGTTGGAGAAATAGAGAATCATACACATAGTTTACTGTAACAAATACGCGTCTGAGTTAGTTCAAACGTTGAAAGTTGTACTTAGTCCCCAGGCGGCGCTGTATTGTTTACTATCTTCATGAAAAGAAAGGCTGGGATGAAGAATGAAAGAAGGGAAGAATGTAAGGAATTATGATTTAGAAATAAAAAGATTTTTAATTGAACAAAGCGCGATTTTTCAGAATATTCGGTGGCGATGGGAATTCATTGTGATTAGGCATTTGCGTGTATGATGACGTTTTCACTGCAAAGCTCATCACTTCCATAAATCAATCAATTGATTGAATATTCCAATAAATTCTTTTGGTGGTTATATGGCATCCAGATTCCAGATGCATGTTATGTTTCAAAATGCATAGCATCAATCAAATGTTTCGAAATGCATTTGCTATCACGTCATAAGACTTCACATGCATATCATATATAGACAATTGATTGAATTGGTTAAAACAAAAACTCACATAATTTGACACGATACTCAATGTTTTGTTCGAAACAGCTTTACAAAGCTTTTTCCGGAATTCACCTCATAGATGTCGCACACCGTTCAAACGATTTATTTCAATCGGTGGCGATGAACTAGTTCATTTCCATAATATGACACAAGTGAAGCAACTATGCAGCTATATTCAACTTGGAGAATTCAGTTGGAATCGAATGAATAAAACTTGCATTCTCGCTTTATTTCTTCTTTTTGTTTTGTTTTGTTTTGTTTTTTTTGCGCAATTTTGGCGCATCAGTTTTTGATGAATTCCGTTCAAGTTGGTTTGCGGAAAAAAAAGAAACGATGCATTTGCTTGGAAAAATATCGCTCGATGCTCCCAAAAACGGTTTCGGCGAAAAGGGAATGTAAAATGTCAAACCAAATGTTACTCAATTCCGAAATGAAAAACTTTTCATTATTCACGTTTAAACGGAAGAAGAAAAAAGACCGTTGTTGCGGATATAACAATGGGTACAGTTTTGTCGAAGATAATCTTATTATCTAGATAATTCAGATAAGATAAGATAAGATATTATCTTTTATCTTATCTAGATAATTTGATGATAAGAGTGTTTATATATTATCTTATCTAGATAAGTAATTTTTTTCATTATTTATCTGGGTTTTTTAGATAATTTTCCAGATAATTATGAATGCCTTGGTTCCAAAGTGGCAAAACAAAAATGCTATTCAATTCCGAAGTACTTGCCAGAAGAATTGATGTTCCAAATATTAAAATCGTATAGTCAATTTCGATTTACCGTTTACGGTACAAGATATTTGCCATTACAGGGCAGAATTGTGATTAGAAATTCACTGAATCCGTCACTTCGCGCGTGAATCACAGATTCAAAAAAATGTCTGAATCAAGATTCATTTTTTTCTGGATCAGAGATTCACTTTATTCTGAATCATTTTCGATTTGTGATTCAATCTAAAATAATTAACTGTCCAAAAATGTATCACTGATCCACTGAATCAAAATAAACTGAATCTCTCTGAAAAATGATTCAGTGAATCTGATTTATGAATCTTCGTGATTTTTGGATCCGCCCACGATTCCGTATTTGCCATAAACTTTCATCAATTTTCAAGAAAAGCAGCAATGGCGATAATTTTTAGGATGATACACGCAGGATAAGTATGCCATTTTGGCGAACCATTTGAGTTTCACACCAAAACAGTGGTTTTTTCAAAATAGCAAATAAAGTGAAATCGATAATACAAATACTAGATAAATTTTGAAAAATAGTTGAATCATCTTATCTTTATCTAGATAAATTATTTCTACTTTCCGACAACAATGAGTACAGGCAAATCAAGCTACTTACCTGACAATAGGCTATTGTTATCGAGACCGCCCCGAATCTTTGGAATTAATAAAATGAACATGCAAAAGAAATGTGTAAAACAAATGAGTTTTTTTAGTAACATTAATAATCAATATATTTCATTCATACGATTTACATTTATGTTTTAATCCTGTTGATTTCTTTTGTTTAGTTAATTAGTCAAACATTTTTCTCGTCACTTTCGTGTGTGTGTGTGTATCTCTCTACCAAAATTGTCTTGTAATTGTGTTTTGATCTTGTTAACAGTTTCTGTGTTATTCATTGTAATGAAATTTTTTTTGTTTAAATCGCCTTCCCAAGGGACATATTCATAGCCATAAAAATTGGTTTGATTTTGATTTAAGGAATCATCGAATACATAGAATCATATGCTATTCAAATTCATTTTTTTCATATTTTGTGAATTTTTTGTTTGGTTATCTTTTTTTCTGTGTGTGTATGTTTCTCCAACATATTATGATTGATTTCACCTCATCCCATTCATGTTGTGTATGTAATTTTTTTTTGGTATTAAACGATTTGCTTCTCTATTTGCCACATTGATTGATGCACATATGTGGGGCGCGGCGCAGTATATCAACACAATAATTTGTTTAATGAACAATGCTCTTGATTATGGGCCAAACAGTTCATTTTGCATACTGCAATGTAAGTGTTCCACGCAAAATACATCATTTTCGAACGCATATAATTTTGAAAACCACTCTCATGAATGTGGTCAATTTATAGGCATTTTGAGTTCGTTTAGTTGTTCAATTGGCCAAAAGTTGGGCTAAAATGAAACTTTGTGAGAGAAAAAGGGAGGAGAAGAGGAGCGAAAGAGAACTAAAAAAAATGCTGCACATAAAATTTAATTAAAAAGGCGATGATGATTTATTTGGTCAAATTTTTGGTCATTGTTCATGTTGTTTGTGTGTGATTCAATATGTTGGGATATTTGCGAATGGCGAATGAAAATCATTTAATGGTTTCGATTGATCAGCGATGTCAGATGCGCAATTTTCACAATTGATTTCAGTTTGGCTGGAAAAATAGAAAAGGCTGGAATTTGGTTTTAATGCAGCTTCATCGCTACAGCTTGAGCGAGAGAGACAGAAGGAGAGAGAAACCAAATAAAAACAAAATATTTCCGAAAATGATTTGACGTGGAAAAGCTCACTTCATTGTTATTTATTTCGAAAGCAAATAAAAATAGATTGGTTTTTAAATGATTCCGTTCGAATGTTTCGTAGAAAATAATGGCTTGAAGCATGTAAGCCGTCATGCAACAAAATCGCTCCGAAATGATGGATTTGTTTATTTTTTTTGTTTATTTGTTCTGGTTTCTTTCTCTCTTCGCTCTCCCACTCTCTTTCTCTATGCTGTTATCACACATTCAACAACAAATCACATACGATTTTTCACCGAAATTCGTGGCAATTCCACTGCAATAGCAAATGGGAATAAAATTACAGGCAATTGCCTCCGGCGACTCAAAAGATGCCCGTTTTTTACTTCTCTCTCTCTCTCTCTCTCTCTCTCTCTCTCTCTCTCTCTCTCTCTTTCTCGTCGCCGAGTTCCGTTTGTTGGAAAGAAAACAAAGTTCCCTTTCCCTCCATCATTCCTTGTATCACACAATCGAAAAAAGCAAACATAAATTTGTCTACGTGTCATATCGCATCTAAGATTTATTAAAACACTGTACAAATTATTTCACGTGAGCGCAAAATATTTTATAAAATAGACTGTAGGATGTTTTGCTGTTTTTATTCGCTGTTGTTTTCTAGAAATAAAATGGATTGAGAATAAGTACAAGAAGCCTGTGAAAAAAAAATTGGGAACGTACTTTCAAATTGGATTCCTTAAATGAATCTCACCCAAAACTGAATCGAATCCATGTGTCGATGTGTGTGCTTCATTTTCAGACAAAGACATGGTGGTGGTTCATGGAATTTTAAGGTTAGGTTGCTACTTGCCTCAAGCAAATTCGTTTGCTCTTGCTCACTCTCTCTCTCTCTCTCTCTCTCTCTCACTCTGCATCACGGATTCTTCGAATTCCAAAACCCAACAAAATTGTAAACATACACTCGCAATCTGAGCGAACACACTTTCGTTCCCGTTATTTTTATCAAACAAAAATGTTGCATGCCATCATAAGCGTTCTCTCCATACCATACACGCACACGCACGCATGAATGAAAATTCAAGCGATTAGTATACAAAATATGATAGCTAAGTTCATATGGTTTTGCATCATTGTTATGAATGTGTGTTTGCTTTAGATATGAGATAGCATTTGGCGATTTAATGTGCGAAACAGGGAGTAAACGAGTGCTAGAGAAATGCAACAGAGGGAGAGAGAGAGAGAGAAAGAGAGAGAGAGAGATAGAGAGAGAGAGATTAAAAGAGATGGAAGGAGACATACGCATTCCAAAATCAAATTAGCACACTTTTTTTTCGACTGCCGTTCAACATGCTTTTGCAACGATAGTGAAGAAGTTGAACCGTATTCAGCCATCCATAAAGGCCAGAAATGCTGTTTAAAACGTAAGGAATTTATTTGCGATCAAAACAGGAAAGTTGTCGTCGTCGTCTGTGTGTTTGTGTGCATGGGCACAAAACATTAATTAAAATTTATAACATAACATGCAAAAGCATTCCGTTCCATTCGTTGGTGGAACCAAGAGGGAGAAAAAGACACAGACTTAAATCAATAAATTTATGTTACGGCCACAAATATTGGCTTTTGCACTACACAAACACACAATCTAACCCAGTTTAGTCGATGTCGCTGCCCTCCCAATGGCACACACTCGCACCCACCCATTTTTCGCCAACGACGACTTTTGTAACAATACACTCCCATACTCCCATACTCCCACACACACATACACAAACTCACATCATGTCGAACGTGCGGTGCACCAAATAAATATTATGAAGAATCGTTTGCAGAAGTGCCATAAATTTAAAAATCCAACCGACAAATTCACTTCGCACACGGGAACACAAAACGACCGTTGACCGAGGAATATGCCAAATTGAAAATGAATTTTTCGCTTTATATACTTTCTGCTGATGCACAGATTTTCCATCGACATTTGCAACCAACCCAAAAAAAAAAAGTACAAAAACAATCAAACTATAACGCTTAATTTCACCAACATCGAATCAAACCGAAGATGCAATGGTCGGGCTTTCGAAAACTAAAATTACTTGAACATTTGTTATTGCCGATTCGAATATGCGATAGCAGAAAAGAATGGGGACAACCCATCATAATACAAATAGTCATTGCATATAGTAATGCATTGTTTTGTTGCGATGACTGCATAATTTTCGCCTGTAAAAAGCCTGCTCTGAATCGAATCGAATCAAATCATATCAAATCGAATGAAAAGTATTTTCCATTTGTTGGCGAATAGTCGAATAATCGCTCGTTCGTTCGACCAACCGATCCCATTCTTCGTCTGGGATTTTGTTATTGTTGTTGTTGTTGTTGGCCGCACACGATATGATACAATTGAATTGACGCGTATGGAATAGTTCGATAAATAGTGTTTCATTTTTCAATAAAGCAATCCGGGGCACGCTAGCATTTTTCGAAAACCAATGTAGCAATACGTTATTTATTGGCTGATGCACAAGTTTTGATCTGATTTTGTTCAATATGCATGATTTGCATTTTCCTTCTATTCGTCAAGCCAAATGGGAAAAAAACAACCAAATCCACAGACCAAATCGGAAAAATCGCTGAATCTGAAGAAAAATGTGAACCAGATCACGTTATGAATAGAATACAATAGAATAAATTTGATGGTCATTCTGATGGTTGTGCTTTCAAAAGCGATATTGTTGTGTCGATTTTCTTCTTCAATTTTCTTGAGAACGGTCGATGTGAGATCGAAAGACACAAGTGATTGTAGTCTAGACGGATTTCATCTTGATTCGTGGAAAGTTGCGAAAATTAATCAAAAATATCTGAACGTACAATGCAAACTGGACATGGTAGGAGCGGAAAAATTCCACTGTCGAGCGTGTATCACTTTGATGAAAATAACGATTCATTCTGCTAGATGCCGTGTATCACACTATCATGTGTAAACACATAAGTGCCTATACCGTGTGTGTTGTGTGCCGTCATCTTCTTCGCTTTTTCAACTGTCGCATGAGTGCCACAGCATATTTTATGGGATAAATTTTCAAATGGGTTCCATGAATTTAAGAGCGACATAAGTGAATTTTGGGCATTTGGCGCGGTGAACGAATTCAAGCATAAAGACAAACGTTTATTTCTTCCATTCGAAGATGAGGAAATGTACGGGAGACTCGTGTGCGAGCATGTGGTAACATATGGAACCGAGTATTTTGAATGCAAATATAGTTTGTCGAGAAAATCTATTCGATATGAAGTTGATTGAATTGAATTCAACCGACTAACTGTATTTGCTCTCTTTCACTCTTCTCTTCTTCTGCTTCTCGGTTTCTCTTTCTACCTCCCCCCCCCCCCCCGCTAACGGGGGTCAATTAAGCTCAAATTTATACAAACAAGGACGATGCAAGCAGCTCTCTCTCTCTCTCTATCTATCGTTTGTGTTTGGAATTCAAATGAAATAATTTTATTATATTCCATTTAATTTTCCATTCATATTTGCACTGAACAGTGAACACTGATTGCACATTGTCCGGATGTTTTCTTTGCCTCTAATTGAATTGCATTTTCCAGTGCATCGAATTTTGTAATATTTGTATTTGGGTAATTAAATGAAATGACTGTGGCCAATGATTTTTGGAACATTTCCCACACAAGTAATTGGCTGACGGATTACAAGTAGCCGAACAATAACAAAAAGTATCCCATTCATCTTTGCAATACGAATCGACTTACGCTCGGTTTTTTTTCTGTTCGGTCACACATTTTGTTGTTCGAGCGTTTATGGAAGCGTTGATAGGTCAAATCCGCTTTGGAACGCCATGCAATGGCAAAATGAATTTATTTCACTGGGAATAGTTACTGTGCAACAATTGTGCAACCATTTTGATGAGTTGAAATTCGGTCGATTGTTTGGCCATGTGCTGAAAAACAGATGGAAAGGCAAAGAAAGGCGTGGCGAGACGAGACGAGACGAGGCGGGATGGAAACGGGATGATGCGTTGAGGAGGATATTTACCAAATTATTTTTGCGCATATGTTTATTTCTTAATTTTATTTTAATCTATTCAAGCGTTTCATATTTGGATTAAGTCTGAAATCCGTTCGTGTATTTAAATGAATATGATTACGGATATGTAATTTCCGTTTAATTTTTGTGTGTGTTTTATTTGGTTTTTTGTTGTTGTTGTTGTTTTGTTATGTTTTTTGTTGAAACCTGTACACGACTTCTGCTATTTACATTAATTCAATAATACATAGTTCTATTGTTTTGTTCTTTTTTTCATTATTATTATTATTTGTGTGTGTGTGTGTGTTTTTTTTTTACTCCTACAATGTAAATGAAAACACAACTTAATTACAACACAGAGAAAATTGACTGTTGGGTGTTATCAAGCGTATTCATTCAGTTTTCTTCTTCTTTTTCTTATCGATTTTTTGTTTGTGTTTTAAATAAAAATTGTTTCTCTTTTGCTCGTTTTTCTATATATCTCTTTTGTATGTTTATAATTGAATCAAGTTGCTTTCGATAGCTAAATATAAAGGACTTTTAATGCCATTGTTACTGATCTAAATAATTTGTTGTTTGCATATTCGGTTGGCTTTGTTTCTATTTATTTTGAATGTGTTTGTCTATGTGAAATACTTGTTTGCCATTTTTTTAAATCTCGCTTATTTTCGACTAGTTTTAAATTCAGTTTTTCTGTTGATATCGCACCTTGTAAATGAATGGAATAGTGAAGTGAATGTGTCGTTAAAACTCTGCATCAATTTCAATCATTTTAATAATCAACTCGGTATCTTTCCCGGTTTCGTTTTCACTACAATCTCAACTAATGTATATGTTTTTAATTCCCTCTGTCTCTAAAATTTTCTGTTCAATACTATTTGCTGTTGTCGTCATCGTTTGTTGCACGAGACCCGGCTGTATGTTTTGTCATGAAAAAATCGTGGACTTTTTAAATCTCTGACTGGCCTTTTATGCAAACTTTAATTAAATTTTGGTATATCATAATCTTTGACCTGCGCAACAATTTATCCACTGTTTGTGTGTGTGTGTGTGTTTGTATCTGTGTATTAGCTCATTTTTTACAATTTCAAAATGGTTTTCATAAAAAAACGCTACATTTTATTTGCCCAACAACCCATTTCTTGTTCTCATCTTGTCTTCCAATTTTAGTTATTTAAATACAAACATTGCTTAGTTATCATTAAAAGCAAGCAGAAATTTAAGACCGTGAGACCATTTGAATCGTATATACACTACCGTGCAAAAGTTTGGAACCACTAGGTATTTTTCATACAAATTGACCATTTTTGGTGGACTCATTAACATATTTCGGAAACATCTGCACTCTTGATATTTTGTGCATAGTTTCTACAACGTTTCAATAGTAAACCACAGAGGTTTCATCAAAAAATATTCACGTATTTAAAAAATATATCAATTTGAATTTGATCTGTTTTAATCTTCATACAAATTTGATCATTTTTCACACAGTACAAATTCAAATTGCTATATTTATGAAATTCAAGAATATTTTTTGATGAAACCTCTGTGATTTACTATTGAAACGTTGTAGAAACTATGCACAAAATATCAAGAGTGCAGATGTTTCCGAAATATGTTAATGAGTCCACGAAAAATGGTCAATTTGTATGAAAAATACCTAGTGGTTCCAAACTTTTGCACGGTAGTGTACATATATACTTTTTTCATTTCATTTAATTTTCGTCTAGGTTTTCGTTAGCAATTTTTTGTCTTCTTCAGTCGTATGTAACTTGTGTCTTAGTCACGGCAAAAGTAGAATAGCATAGCAAACGATTGCCAACGCATACGTTTTTTCTACGCAAAAATCATCCCCATTCCACTCAGCAATATAAAATTGTGTATCTCGACATACTTATGTGCACGACTGAGAGAAAAAAAAAGAAGAATCTTGAACTTCAGCACAAATATACACACATCAGAACCAATAAAAACACAACTACTTTACATAAAATACCTGCACTTCGTTGCACTTCTTTCTGCTTTCCTTTTGACTTCACCGGCGGATGTCGATTCCATTTTTTTTCTCTTCATTGAGACATATTTTGTTCACTTTATTTCCTCTATCTTTCACTTTCTTTAGTTCATTATTCATGTAATTTGAATGGAAATTGATGCAATGCTTACACGAGTAAAAGTGGAAAAAGGCAAAGGCATGTGCTGTTACGATTATTTGGCTCGCAATCCGTACCCAATCTTTCCAAACACAGCCATACAATTATATCGAAACATCATTTTACTTGTAACATTAACAATCTCTCTTTTCCTCTGACAATTCTGTTAATTTTTTATTTGTATTTTGTTTTTCTCTACAATCAACAACATCAATAATTGCGCGTGTTTTTTGTTATTCCAATTGTTACTATGTTTCGCTTGTATATGATTTTTTTGTGTTAATTTTTTTTGCTCTAACCATGTGCTTGGTTTGAAGTTTATGTACGTATATTTTTTTCTGTATCTATATATAGTTTTATTGTTTTGTTTGTTTAAGTGTGTCTTTTATTCGTTCAATTTGCGCGGGCACAAAAATTCACGTTCGATTCAATTGATCGAAGAGCGAACAAACAAAGAACAGACAACAACATAAAAAAAAAAGCTCACACACCGTTCGCCAACAAACAAATTTGTGCAAAGTAGTATTTTTGCTCGGGAATATTTGCAGATCGGATAAACTATGGGCAAAATGCTAGTTGAAATACCCATTGAATTTTGTGTTGTTGGCAAGTTTAGCCGAAAATTATAACCTTCCAACTCCCCCATCGCTCGCGCGCGCGTATGTATGTGTGTGTACAGCGTTGCTTTGAAAATGTAACATTTGCCACGGCTTATGCTGCACACAAACATACTTGCACCGCGTACTCATCGCATGCATTTTGCATTCGCAGTTTATTCAAAACTGGAAAATATCCCCTCGTTCGAGAGTCAGTTGGAAACTGTACAACACCACTTAACCTAAATGCTTAAGGATTTTTCTTCATTCTCTTCTTCTGTTATTATTCGATATATTCGTGTGTGCATATACATGTTGAACTTCGTTCACTAAATATTAACAACAATAATAAAAACATACAAGAAATCACATTTATCAACAATGTTCATCTGGTATTTTTTTCCTCTTCTCTTCTGCATTGAAATTACGGGCTTATGCTCGTGTAGTGTTTTTTTCTTTTGTTTCTGCTGTTTGTTTATAAATTGCACGTCCTGCAGATTTATTCACAAAGTGACGCGCACACACACAACCACATCGTTTTAGTTTTGATTCTCTTGACTCCATTACGGACAATACAAATATTCTAATCTGATTAGAATTTTCTTATTATATAATTGTATCATAATTATCTGTTTACCACCGCCCCTTCCCGTCTCAATCCCCAATTGAACAACAGTTTGCTCATAATTAACAACATAAACTCGAACATATTTCTAACTATACAAACAAGAAACCATTCATTTTCATTTTCCAGAAAACATGGGTGAATGTGCCTTGTGCATTTGCACACACACAACCACCACCACCGCCAACAAAACCGTCATCATCTCTATATACACACACACAGAAACAGAAACAGACATTCACAGGCACAGGCACCACGCACACATAAACACCTTACTTGCAAATATGCAAAACTTAGTGCCATCAACACTGTATAATTAACTAATGATCGAAAGAGTAGTTTCACACAATTTTGGCTTGAGATATTTGTTGATGTGTTGTGTATACCATTTATATCATGTGGGAATCTGTTATGCAAATATTGTTTTCCAAAAGGCATGAACATTTTGCTCAATTTCAAAATCGGGAATGAGATGATAGAAAAGAAGAGACAGAGTGAGCGAGCGAGCGAGCAAGCGTGAGACGGAGAGACTGAGTTAGACGGAGGGAAGGAATAGGACAAACGCAGATAGAGAGCGACAGCGATAGAATGAGAGATGAGAGAGAGAGAGAGAGAGAGAGAGAGAGAGATAGAGAAGTATAAAATGGAATAGTTTCTGAGAAAACGTTACCAAAATCTACGTCACCACAGAATTGATGCATTCAAACAAACAGACAATAACTAATTCAATATTTGGTGAAAACAGTTTACCTGAAAATTGGATTGAAAGTGTATATGTGTACGGTGCATACAATATGACACGATCATTTTCACATTTGAGTGCTTTCCACTTGAAATTTTGCGACACAATAACACATATAACGAAAAAGCATAACTCTATCTTTCGCATTTGCCCAACTCAAACTCAAACTCGGAACGAGAGAGAAGCGGGGAACAATCGTCACATTGGTTTCACACACTCACACACACACACACACACACACTTACGCATCAGATGCGGGAGAACGAGGAAAATGTGAACGTGACAAAAGGAAAATTGCACCGGCAAAATGAGCGGATGACGACTAGATATCATTGTAAATGTATAAACCATTGAAATTACAAGCCCTTATGTCTGGTGAGCAAATAATTTTTCACACACACTTCTAACTTTTCTCGCTCCCTTTTTCTCTTCACTCCATTGCTTTGTCTCTCATCTTCCTACTTCTTTATTTCCTTGTCTATCTCTCTACCATTCTCAGCTAGAATTCCATTATTTTCAACGAGACAAAAAAATATTGATACACCATGTGCACGTGTACCCGCAACAATGACTATAAAGCACCTTGAACGTTTTTTTTTATCGTCATCTACATAACTGCAAAATAAATTGAAAGCGGTTTCTTTCGATCATTTCTTTTTCTTCTCTTTATAACGTATAACCTATTCGCAATTTTCTCTACAGGACTCGAAGTTTTTCACTCTTAAACATTCGGTGAGGATTATGAGAGCGCACATGCGATGCCAAGTTCTGCAGCTGAAGTTGTTCATGCAACTTTTATTCTATTTTCATAAACTCACATCCCCTTTTGCATGGCTTCACATACACTGTGTGTGTGTGTGTGTGTGTGTGTGTATTGTCTTCACTGCTGCTGGTGTTCGCACCGAATTGCGGAATTGCTTCGCGAAATCGATTTTTGAAAATGGTTGTGATCGCCCTGCATGTGGACGTACGGACAATTGAATATAACGAATGCCACTGGTTTCAAACACTTTCAATAGTTTGTAGTAAATCTGTGTGTGGTGGTTGTTGTGTTTCTTCTAGTTGTTTGCATTTCAACAATTATTATTTTCTCGCTACCATTAGAGTACATTTAAGGATACATAATTTTTTTGGGTTTGGTTTTGTATTTATGACATCAATACGTACGTTTGTGTCACAATAAATGTTTGAACTTGTTGCGTTTAGATCCGCATCGCATTCATCTGTTTCAAAATGTGTATGTGTGTGCTTGAGGTCTTTGGCTTAGAATAAATTCGATAAAATTAAAATTATATTCGTACATTTTATTCTGGTTTCATCTAGAAACAAGTTTGTTGAGCTTGAATTTCTGTGTAATTTGTGTGTGTTTGTGTGCTCTTTAATGCATTAGATTGTTATTCATCGATTACAAATATGCGTTTTATATCCATTTTATTGTTTTGCTTCTAATTCTTCTTCTGTTTGAATGTATTAAGACAATTGATCGCCTACAATGAATAAGACTTCCGTAAAAAATGTCAAATATAAATATTGTTATGGATGCTGTGATTGTTGTTGGTATTGTTGTCCACCGATGAATGCAGCGTGCGTGATGTTTCTCACATATTTACCACGATTTATGGATTCCTGTATGCGCTCGTTCTCTTGTCGCACTGCAAGTAAACGGGAAAAAAGAAACAGAGCAGAGAAAATATGAGAAAAATGACGATATCATTATATATATATATATATATATTTAGTATGAAACTCCGAAGGAGTAAAAAAGTATACGGTAGAGAGAGATTCAAACCGAAAACTTCGATAAATGTGGGACTTATTCAAACAATACTCAATGCTTTCGAACAAATGATAAAGTTTTTACTGTTCCCGTCTCCCCTTTTGTTCGTTCGTGATTTTCTCCATTGTCATAGCATTTGCAAAAAGACAGCGAAAAAATCGCTCAGTTTGAGCAGAAGAAATCGAATTGAAATCGAAGTTGCGTTCTGCTTCTATGTGGATTTCTACGCAAAACGCAGTTGTTTCTTAATTCTCTTTAGACAAACAACGGATTGTGAACATTTTATTTTCCTATAAAGTTCGTTATTAAATTCAATACTGATTTTTGTTCAAAGAATACGCCAGTAAAATTGAAATAGCATCGATGCATGTTGCACTTATACATACATGCAACGGTATTGCGTTGCAACTCTAACTGTTTATCTCCTTTACCACCCATTTGCTTCCTCTGCGGTGAAACGAAGCCCGCCGCGTTGAACAGGCGAGATAGTGCACACATCATTAGCGAGAGCAGTACAGCACACTGTATTGCTCTCGCTCAAACACACACTGCAAGGCGCATAATACAAACTGAGCATAGAAGCGTAGAGAGCCAACACACACCAGTACGCATGGCTACTACGATTGAGTGTTCTCAGTCCTGTGGAAACTCAATCGTTGTAACATGCGCGCGTCTGTGTTTTGGCTCTCTACGCTTCTATGCTCAGTTCGTATTATGCGCCTTGCAGTGTATGTTGAAGCGAGAGCATTACAGTGTGCTGTACTGCTCTCGCTAATGATGTGTGCCCTATCTCGCCTGTTCAACGCGGCGGGCTTCGTTTCACCGCAGAGGAAGCATATGGGCACTCACGGAAACGTACACATATATGTGATCAGAGGGAGGGAGAACTGTACAACTATATATGTTCTCTCTCTCGCTCCCTCTGATCCAGTTCAAATGGGATTCAGACCATTCAAAGATAGGTGTGTTTGTGTTTGTTCGTCTTTAGCACTGAAAATATATGTTATATATCATTCGAAAATAAAAGTGCTCGTTCAGCGTTGAAAAGTTCGTCGGACTTGCAAATTGCAACAAATCGTTAATAACCGTCCGTATAGGTGTTTATAGCGTGTGTTTTCTCACTTTGTGAAGCACAACTTGTGTGTTTGGGAAAAAAAACTCTTGCTACAAAACTGCAATTGAAACACCATTTTACTTGCCAAACACGCGCTCCGTTGCAGAGTGTAGCGGCCATACAGATATCATCCATGTTGCTGGACATTTGAATCAGCGTCTAGCAAGAAAAAAAATCTTTGTATCGTCCCGAATTCAACACGTTTGGTTAAAAACCAAATTTGATACAGCCGTGCGCTCTGTCGAGTAAAACCCCAGTTTGAAATTTAACAATTCATTTTGCATTTTTTTTTTACCTCGTATATAAACATTCCACTCATAACTTCATAATCATACGTTGGCAGATTGGTGGAGTTGGTTTTGCAGGCCGCAACGGCAATAACAACTACAAACCAAATTGATGCACTAAATTTTGCATATTACCATAAATGTATGGATGTGCACATTTTCAGTTTGCATTTATTACACTTTTTGGCTTGCTATCGAACATTCCTTTTAATATTCATTTAATACACCCATTCTCTTCACTCCTTCGCCAGCTCATGCATTCCATTTAATGAAAGAAGTAAATTGATGTTTATTGATATTGCGTTGGATGCGAAAAAATGCCAATTGCCATGCAACATTTCACATTGAATTGCTTCGCTAAAAGTTCAATTAAATTAAATCAGTTGGTTTTTTATTTATTCTCATCTAAAATTTCATTACTTTTCCCATTTCTTTTCTCTTTTTCATTTACTACAATGGGGAGAAAGAAGCGAAAATAATTTCAATTAGAGTGCGAAAAACCGTGAGCATTTGTTTTGTGTGTGTGCATAAAGCTATTAATTTTTTTTCTTCACGAATGTTAAAAGTTTCAAAATCTCATAGTTTTGTAGAGAATTACTCGACTTACTTTAAATTGATAATCGACCATGAATGGAAAATGGTATAGTATTATCAAAATTTCGTTTCGTTTATCGTTGTAAAACCGATTTTGAAAACCCATAAAAAGTTACGCAATTTTCGTGAAGCGAAAAAAGACAGACAAATAATATGAAAATTTATTCAATTTATATTAAGACTTGAAATTAACACGAAACTTCTATGCTCCGACCACAAAAAAAGAGCCATCGCAGCGCAACTTCCATGCTCGACCTCGACGACTACAAATCGGGTAGTTTACGATTTTTCGATTATGTACGAAACACTCATTGTTGAGCTAAGGTTTTTTTTTCTTGTTCGCAACATGAAAACGAAACGGAAAGACGCATTTTCTCTGAAAGTTGTAGAAAAAAAATCTTTTGACGTTGAATTCGTTTTTGTTTCGGGTTTGTGTTTCCGCAGACACGATTGCATGTATTTCGTTCATTTTGGTGAAGTAAGTCGAGGACAATGTTAAGCAAAAATGGAATAGCGGAAAACATGTTTATCAACCGTTCTCATGTGACTGTAAGATCTCTAAGTGATTGTGCTTATAACGCAAATGAACGTGCACACCAACCAAAAAACGAAGTGGAGGAAGGACACAATTGTTTACGGCAAGAGAGAAAAGCACATAACGAAGAAAATTCGCAAAATTTTTGTGACAACTTGAAGCATTTTGAGTTGGTTGGTTTTTTTAGCGTCTTCTTTTCGTTGCATTTGTTAAGTCACAAACTATCGAACGTCAGTTTGATTGAGCAAAATGGAACGTGCAGCAACTTGTTTCTCGCTCACTTCTTTTATTTGACAATTTTTTTTCCCGAATTTTAGTTTAGTACCCTTCATTATGACAGAATTATGATGCGAAGAGAAAGAAAAATGTTTCTAAATAAAACATGGCAAAAGAACACATCGATGTGTTCCCACTTTGTGAATGAAGTGTACGCAAAGAAGTTCAGAAAAGTGGTTGCCGAGCGCACACGAGTTATGACCAACAATACCGACCGAGCGAGAGAGAGAGAGAGAGAATGACACAGAAAAAGAACGCAACGGCAAAAAAGAGACTTTCAAATCGGTTTCAAGTGTTCTTTCGCTGTTTTTGTTGCTGCTGCTGCTGCTGTGTGTGCATTTGTTCTGTTATGTCCGCTTTATTCTCTTTTATTTTAAACGTTGGCTTGGGCGCGACACATATTCATCGACAAGGCGCGCGGTATTGTCAAATAAACGATACATATTTACACACCATGATGTTTGGTGCAGCTGCTGCTGCACATTATGATGCGGTGCATGGTAGTTTACTATGGTAGTACGTCTTATTTGTGTTGCACACACTTCACAACAAATTCACAATCCATTCAACATCAAACAACAAAAGACGTAAGAATCTGTTTCGTCTCTCTTCTTCTCTTTCAGTTTTTCTACTTCGCACTCTCTGTCGTCGTCGTAAAGAGAATAAAATCCACCAAAAAAGAGAGTCGGTGAGTAGCTCGAAAACAAAAACTCTTAAAGAAATACAAAGAAGACAAAAAAAAAAACGAAGTGAAAAAACTTGCGAAAAATATGCATCGTAATCGAGCTCAATATCTTACGAACAAATGAAAATTCTTTAATAAGTTTCAAAATTCAATGTGAATTCCATCATGAGCAAATGCTTGGAAGGGCGCGCATAAACGCATCTATGGCAGTCGAACCACATGCATATTTTTTCATATGATACCTGAAATGTGCGCTGTTGTCTTCGTGTATGTGTGTTGCAAACATCTTTACGTGAATCTCGTGAACGATTTTCTTTATTATCATTTTATAAAGGTAATAATGAACACTTTGCTAAAGGAGAGAAGAGTAATAAGCGAGCTTTTGCACAATAGTTGCATATTTGATAGTTTCGACTCTTTCAAAATGCTTCTTTTTTTTGCTGTGAAAGTTTTAGTGTCTCATCTATTTTGTCTCTATTTGTTTCACACGACGCGATTTTGTGTTATTCAAATGTACCGAGGTGGCATTTGTTGTTGTTGCTAATGTTTGTTTGTTATACCGAAAATTTGCAAGATCAACGCACTGATGAACATCTCGCGTCAATCTTTCAGTATACCGTATTTGCCTACATTATTCCGCCTGCGTTCGACGTCGTCTTTGTAATGCTCAATTTATGAATTACAAACGACACACTCATATTGTGCTCACTTTCAATATATTTTCTATGAATATCTTATATGTGTATGCATGCGTCATAAAAATTTGTGGTGGTAAAAATTATGGCACATATAAACTTAGTTGAGCTAGTTATGAGCCAAATTGGGGATGTCGTTGTTCAGTCTCCAGAGAGCTTTTGTCAGTTGAGCCATTTATTGGCATATAATCCCAACACGAGGCGACGCTCACGTTACTTCAATCATTCATGGTGACATGATTACCACAATTTAACCACTTCCAAAACTTCGCACTTTTCGACCACTTTCCGAAGTCGGATCACTTTCATTTATACAGATGGAAAATCTATTTGAATCGATTTTCGTCTGAAAAAAAAAATGCAAAATTTTCTTTTTAATAAGTCTAGTGTCGAGGTATACACTTCTAAATCCGTTTTTGATGACAATTGATTTATTTCAGATGGAAAAAATAATTTCAATGAACTCGTCCACCGTTCGCCATCCGCCGCTTTATCCGAATTTAAATTCTGAAACTGCACTCCAACAACATCGGAATCCATGAGCTTCCGATTTTTGACAAATGTTTGAGTGACAAATCATGTGTGTGCGACTGTGCGTGTGTGCCGCTGTCGATAATAGTTAATAACAGAATGCAGTGTGGTGGCTTGACAAAATTAGTTGCACTTATCACTTTTGGGACGATGCCTCC